CATGTGCACTTGAAAAGAACATGTGTTTTGTTGTTTTACAGTGATCTACAAATGTCAAGTACATCTAGTAGGTTGATAGTGTTAAGCCTTCTACACTTCTACTGATTTTCTGTCTACTTACCCTATCAATTATTGAAAGAGGAGTATTGGAATCTCCAGACATAATTATGGCATCTAATTATAAATTTTTCCTATACTCCTTTCAGTTCTATCAGATTTTGATTCATGTGCTTTCCATTTATATCATTAGACACATGAATGCATACAATTACATTAGGTACCCTTGATGAATTCACCCTTTTATCATTTTGAAATGACCCTTTTTATCCTTAGTAATATACTCTGATCTAAAACCTATTTTGTCTGATAGTAATATAAGTATCTTTTGATTAGTGTTGGCATGGTATGTCTTTTTTGGTCCTTTTACCTTTAACCTATTTGGTTTTTTATGTCTAAAATATGTTTATTGCAGACAGCATACAGTTGGGTCTTACATTTTTAACCAATCTGGCAATCTTTGTGAAATCACTAAACTCTACCTGGGTTACTGACTTCCTTTCTACTATCATATTTTTACTTTCCAATATCTCTTTTTTGTTCTCAAAAGTTCTACTTTTGGATAGCCTTTCTGTTCTTGTTTTACATAATCAGTAACTTGTCTTATTTCTTTGAACATATTAATATAGTCAATTTAAAATACTATTCTATTCTCTGCATTGACTGTTTTTTATAAGTTCATTTTACCTGTTGGTTTCTTCTCCCCTCTTTTTCATGTTACATGCTCTCTAATCAGTCATTGATTTATGTTAGGGTGATGTTAACTGATAGACTTAACATTAGGGTAGGATTTCTCAACTTTGGCCCTATTGACATTTTGAACTGAATAATTATTTGGGGGAACAGGAAGATGAGCTTCCCTGTGCACTGCAAGATGGTTAGCAGCATCCTTGGCCTCTATCCATGAGATGCCAGTAGCACACCTTTGTGCATATCTTCAGTTATTACAATCAAGTATCTCTCCAAATATTGCCAAATGTCCCCTGTGGGGGAAATCAGTCCTAGTTTATAACAAATGCATTAGGGTGATCAGGGTCTTGAGAGTTTCTCTGAGAAATTCTCCAATTTCCTACTTTGTGAGTGAAGAATATGAACCTAGTTACTAGCATTTGGAAGCCAAGCAAATGAACAGACATGGGTATCTCACCAACCAATACACAGACTCTGACTTAATCTATCTGGTAGGCAGAATAATGGCCTCTCACAGATGTCCACACATCCTAATCCCAGGAACCTATGAGCATGTTAAGTTACATGGCAAAAGAGAATTCAGATAGCAGGTAGAATTAAGCTTGCTAAAAAACTGACCTTAACAAAGGGAGATTATCTTGGATTATTCAGTTGGATTTAAACGTGGAAGAGGACAGGAGAGTCAGGGATAAAATGATATGATGTGAAAAAGCCATTGCTGGCTTTGAAGAAGTAAGGGAGCCATGAGCCAAGTAATGCAGGTAGCTGAAAGGAGCTGGAAAAGGCAAAAAAACAAAATTTCTTTCTAGAGCCTCCATGAAGAAAGACAACTCTGCTGACACGTTAATTTTAACCCACCGAGACCCATTTTGGACTTCTCACCCCTGGAATTATAGGATGATAAATTTGTGTTTTTTTAAACCACTACATTTGGGGGTAATTTGTTATAGAACCAATAGGAAAATAATATAATCATTTGATTTCAGTATGGTGCTTTAGCATCCACTCTCAGCTCTGCTTAGTATTCCCAAATCTAGAACAAACCTGAGATAATCTCTTCTACCATTAATCAACCAAGTCCTACTTATCTCTGTCAAGGTCGAAGAATCCAGGCTTCTGGGTTAAGATGGGACCTATGGAGCAAACTGTTCCTTAAGCAGATTTTAACCAATCCTTCCATTCCAAGCCCACTCTACTCCCCAAGGCTATTTAAGGGTACCTTGTACCTCCAAATCCTGAATTTTTCCAGCATTCTGCAGTAGAGACAGACTTGCTTTTATTATGGCAAGTAGTTAGACTTCCTCTCTATTCTGCTAAGTCACCACTCATTCTCATTCCTCCTTGCAAAAATACATGGATGTCTCTTATCTGCTACCTCTCTTAATCTTTTTGATCATTAAGGGTTCATGCAGTTTTCGTTCTCTAGTGTCATTTTATTGGGATTTCAAGAACAACAGAAATAAACAAGTTCAACTGCTATGTTTAACTAGTTTTATTTTCAGCTGACATTTTATCAAGCCCTTACTGTGTATTAGATTTTCAGATAAACCTTTACATAAATTATTATTTGGATCTTGTAATAACTCTAAGAGATAGGTACTATTATTTTGCATCCCATTTTATAAATAAAACTGATGTTTGATTCAGGTGACAAAGCTAGGGTGGAACAGAACTGGGATGGAACCCACGTCTTTATAACTCGAAAGCCAATTGGCCTAGTCAATTATGCAATCTTCTTAATTTTTCAATTAACAATTCACAGGTTTTACTCTAGATCAGGGGTCAGCAAACTATGGCTCACTAGCCAAATCTGGCCTGCCACTTGTTTTGTAAAGTTTTATCAGAACACATCCATACGAATCATGTGGAAAAAAGCACACTCAAACTCAAAGTACTTTTTCTATTCTCTCACTCAACAACGAACAATTAACACAGAAGACTTCTGCGACCAAATATGTGGAGATTTTCCCCTACCAACAAGCAAGCAATGAATTCTGCAGCAAATACCAGGCAGGTATCCTCCAATTTAGTTCTGACACTATCCACCTAGAAATCAAATTCCACAAGTTGAGGGCTCAGTACCAAAAGACTGCCCCCCCTTTCTGATGCCAATTGCAAGTGCTGGGTTATTTTTACCTGTGCTTTTAACTGATTGGTTATAAACTGGGGATCCCAAGACCCTTTTCCTTGGGTTTGATTAATTTGCTAGAGCAACTCACAGAACTGAGGGGAACCATTTACGTTTACCAGTTTACAGTAAAGGATATTGCCACAGGTACAGATGAAGAGAGTTATGGAGTAGGCACATGAGAAGGGGTGTTGCGCTTCCATGCCCTCTCCAATGCACCACCCTCCAGGAAGCTCCATGTGTTCAGCTATCGGAAAGCTATCGTGTCCTTTGGGTTTTCTTGGGACTTCATTACACAGGCATGATTAAACCATTGGCCATTAGTGATCAACTTAACCCGCAGGTTGTGGCAAAGGGCTGAAAATCCTAAGCCCCTAATCCTGCCTTGGTCTTTCTGGTAACCAGCCCCCATCCTGAAGCTACCTAAAGGTTGCCAGCTATCAGACAACTCATTAGCATCCAAAGACATCACTTTGGAGAGTAAGGATTTTAGGAGTTGTCCACTAGGAAAAAAGGTCAAAGACCAAACACATATTTCACAATATCATACCCATTTAAATGACTATTGTCTATGCCTGTTTTTGTGCTACACTGTTACAACTGAATAGTTGAGACACAGACAGTCTAGCTGACAAACTCTATTAGTCTCTGATCCTTTAAGGAAAAATCCGCTGACCCTGCTGTAGAAAATAACCTTATTACCAAGTTTTGAGTTCATGGTGTCCTCATATACTTAACACTTTTGTTACTGTTATCAAATCAAAGGCACTATTTTTATTGTTCCTTTAGCCTTTTGTTATCCTGCAGTTAGAAATCTTTGGCCATGGTTTAAAAAGAAAAGTCTCTAAACCCATCTCCCATGTGAAGTCTTCCACATACTTATAGTCATACTCACTCCCATTTCTGAGCTCCCATCTCAATTATTATAATTATAGTATTTAATGGAGTTTGATTCATATAGTCATTACTAGTTGTGATTCCTCTGAGATCTAGCAAGTGCTTGACTCTGATAAGCATTTATTAAGTACGTTCTAAGTGTCAGTCAGTGTTCTAGACACTAGAAATACAAAAATAAAAATGGCAACTTTTGGTTCAAATGTATTTTTTTTAATTAAGAGGTACAAAAATAGAAAAGAAACTGAGCATGGCATATGTGCTATGGTCCCTGCAACAATTGCATCAGAATCACTAGAAGTGCTTGGGCAACATTCCTATTGAGTGCTGAAGCAGAATCTGTGGTGGTTAGACCCAGGAATCTGTGCTCTTAATCAACACTTCAGATGACTCTTAAGCACAAAAGTTTCAGAAACACTATGGCAGTAGACAGGAAATACTGCTTCTAAATGTGCAAGTATTATGAGAGAGTGAGCACAAATCTCACATGATCTCTCTTAATACAAACTAATTTCTGTCAAAATGTAATGTTTTGCTGCTCATTTCTTCTTTCCAAAAGTTTACTAGACATGCTTAATCGGGAACTTTGAAGTTGCTCTCATCTTTACTAATTTTACTCACACTGTGAACCCTGTACCTAGCACAGTTCTTGAAACATAGTTGATATAAATACTCTGTGTTGAACCGTTGAATATTCAGAGCAAAACCTCTTTAAGTTGTCCCTAGCATGTAGAAGTAGGAGTTTTTCCAATTTTAGACTGGAATGGTATGAGGATCATTTGAGAACAAGGAAGATAACACACCCAGGCAAATGTTTGGTCAACCTACATCTTGTTTCTCTCCTTCTAGAAATACTTCCTTCTAGCTCTCAAGCCCACTACCCTGTGGGGAATATCAATCTCTCTCCTCAAGGCTAAGCTGGATTAAGCAAAGCCAAGCAGACTAGTGGAAAAGGTCAGGCATTATAGGATTCATCTTCATCATAGGTAATCTATTTCTAGAGGCGGTAGTCAGCAGAATGCCCCAGAATACATGTTTAAAAGGATTACCTACCTCTGAAGATAACAGACCACTTGCTTATATATGTCTACCATGAGAGTCTTATAACAATGGACTCTTGCTATACCTGACACAGATCTACCCCTCCCACTAGAACTCTGAATTATTTTGCTGGAGGCTACAACATTCTGAGTAGTTTGTTGGGAGTTCACGGGAGGTGGGGATAACTCACCCAGTACAAGCTTAGCAGAGCTGAGCCGCTGCAGCATGTTGGGCTAGCCTTTGATACAGACTGGTTGGACAGGTTCTGGATCTACGGAAGAACCGGTTTTACTGGCCTGTTGTGCCAACATATTCTGGTTTGATTCCATGTTCCACAGACGGTAGAAACCTGCCCAGCCAGTTAAATGAAAGGCATATTAGGTTATCCATTGCACACAGTATATAGCTTAGATGCAGCAGAACTCTTCCACATAGCAGTAGTGTCTAGCAAACTAGTGTGGTCCAGAGGTGGTGTTCACTGATTTAATGTTTAAGTTCATAGCTTCAGGGAAAGTGAGCAGTGAAACAATTTCTGCTTTTCACCAAGAGCAGAGGTTTCTAAATAAATTGAAGGGTAAGTATATTTTATAAATTTCTCAGTTTTCTATGCATTTTGGAAAGTTAAGAAATGATGTTTAAAAAGATAATCGATTTTTAACATAGTAATAGCTGCATTATACCTTTTCTGTAAAGCTAGATATTGCTTTATAACACTTGCATTATGTTCATTGATTTGTTTGCATAAAGGTTATTTGGTATATAATATTCTCTTACTATGCTTTTTTGTAAGTTGTGCATAGCTATAGTAATTTTAAAAGTTGGACTGAATAATTTTGCAAAATAAATTTCAAATATTAATGATTTATATTAAGCCATCTACTTCTTTCATAATGTAACTATTATGTTTTATAGGCTGTTGCTATATGGTAGCAATTTTATATAGTAAATCTAATTGTGGATAAATAATAATTGCCTTTTTAAGGCCAAAAAAGTATTGGCCTGCTGGTGATCCTAAGTACATGCATTAGAACAATTCACAGCAAAAATTGAGGAGTGTGAAAAACAAAGATTGTGGAATCTGGTAACTGATTAACTATTGGAGCTCAAAAGCACTTGCTGAGCTGAATAGAAAGGAATGAAGACAGGTTTTGTCATGCCTATTAGGTCTGAAAAACTTTTTAGGTTAAAGAATACTTGGATCTTCCTTCCATTTATATTAAAAATCTTCCTTTTATCTCTCTCTTTACTTAATCCAATTAATTTATTTTAGTAGTTTGTATCATGTAAAATGAAAGTTACCAATCCCTTTAGATTTATGTTGGCATACCATCCTACCCCTCTATTTACTGCTATTAGATTGAATTGAAGCACATGTCTTCTGGGGCATTTAATTTAACATAACAGCTGACATACGATTTTATCTGGGAATTAAAAATAAAAATTTAACGTATTTATACTGAATGCTTTCCTGTCATCTTAATAGGACTTTGCTTTGAACTGAGCAAGGCTGATGCATCCTTTTCATTGTCCCTAGGGTTCCCACTTTGTCATTATGTTCAAACTCAAAGGCTATAATATTATTTTCTAACTCAAAGGCTGTAACATTAGTTTCCTTAGAATGTTGACAGAATAAATTTAAAAGTGTAAATAAATGTTCAGATGAGATTTCATTTTTTGCAGGGAAAACCCTTGGATGCTTCATAGTCCTACTTCTAGGCAGTTCTGCATAGAATTTCTGGTAATCCAGGTAAACTGCTGAAAAGCTATGTAATGTTGTATCTGCAAAAGCAATGTGCTGATTCAGCAAACCAATATTAATTTTATTCAGCACAAATTGTATTTTGACAAGCTTTTGGTAATATGGATCAAAACTTTCAATTGGCTGAATTTTTCTGATTTTACTACACGAAACCTAGTTTTCAGGTAATATATATACCAATAGAGCACATTGTTAGTATTTCTGGTGAATATATTGTATGTGGTAATTTAAAAAATTTAAATCACACTGTGTTTAAAACATAGGGCTTACTGTTTAAAGATAAATTTAATTTGGGATTCTAATTTATTTATTGAGCATTATTTATGTTTATGGTTTTGAAGAAAGCTATTTAGGAACTAGATATACATTTTATATAAAATCCATGGGTAAAATTTCAAGCTTAACTCTGTATTTTGGAGGAGGATTGCACACTTTTCATTTAATGGAATTTTCATTTTCAAATGTAGGTAAGTCCTATTAAATATTACTTTTATATATTTTCCATAAATTGAGTCATTTAAAATATTGATACATTGTGATAATTTTGTTAAAACCCAGGACATATAAATTTGTCAATCAAATTAGGAGTGTGTATTTTATACAGACCAACATATCTCAGCGCCTAGTCAAGAAGTGTTCCACTCATTTAAAATTTTTTTACTCTTTTAGTCGATGATGCATTTCTTCTTATTCCCAGTCACACAATTTCACATAACTCTTTTTGTCAACAATGCTAGCTTTCTTAACAACTGCAACTTCTTTCCCTTCTGAATATCTTCATGTGTTTTCCACTAAAAGCACTTAGAATTATGACATTTTTTACCTAAGAGGGACATTTAAAGAATAACCAATGAATCTAACACCTCATTTCTGAGTTAAGAAATGAAAAGCCCCAAAATATAGCTAAATCACTATTATATAATCTAAGGGTCAATCTGGAGCCAGAACATCCAAGTTTCCTGACTACCAGCAAGACCAGTAATTTTTTCACTACCCTACATTGACTCTTCTGAATACTACATGAAATCTAATCTAAAAAGGTAAAATTATGTTGTATAGTGTGTTAATGAATCTTTGGTGAACTAAGAAATCATCTGCTTTTGTATTTTAATCTGTATCATTATTGCCCCAAACATTTTTAGGACAATGGCTAAATATATATGGGATTACCATTGATAATGAACGTGACTACCACTTCAAACCCTAATCTCTTAATGCCATCATATAATTTTGTTTCAAACTGATGAAGGCCTCACATTCTTTCATACTTGCCCACCTTGTGGATCCTACTCTCATTTTCTGACTTAATATTGCTTTAAGCTGTCTCTACTGTCTATTTTCTTAGTATGCATGTATTTTTGTATTATTTTAGTCATTCTTATATGCTTATAATCTAGGATTTGTCTAAGTTAATATAGTATTCCTAAAGTTTGGTTAGAACTGACAGGAAAATTACGTTATGAAGACAGAAATTGCAGGACTTAAAAACCCATCCTAGAGGTGATAGAAGCCGTTATTTAAGGGGTAAGCTTTGCACACAAGTGCTCAAAAAATGTTTTAAACATTTTTAATTTGAGGAATTCCTAGGAAATATGATTACAGAAAGTTGGAGAACCAAAGGCCCAAAATTTCAATTCTGATTCCTGGCACTAAATGTTAATTCTACTAATTACCTTATCTTTTCCCAGGTAAAATCCTACCTGGGAAATGCTTCTAAATTTGATCATTTTAGTTCAGTCCAAGTGGACTTAGAAAAACAATCACTTTCATTTGTTTCTTAACTTTACAAGAGAAAAGGCAGTATACTGAAAAGCACGTGAGCTTTTGAGCCAAATTGACATGGGTTTGAATAACTCTGCTACAAATTCCGTTCCCCTTGGAAATTATTTCACTCTCTGAGTTAGCTTTTCTCCATCTAGTTAAGGAAGTTAAGAAACTAATACCATTCTTTCAGAGTTGTTGGAAGAATTAAATGAGATGTTATGTAAAACACTTCACGTAGTTCCTAAGAACACAGCAGGTGCTCAGCAAATGTCAGTATCTTTCTTATCCCTTTTATAGACTATATAATACATTTCAACAAATAGCTTTGGTATTTGCCGAAGTATTTCAGTATTTTCTTTCAGTAAGAGAAGTCAACTTTAACTTAGAATATGCATGTTTTTGTCAGAAAGATAGAAATAAAATCAGCAATCTTGGAAGGCATTAAGATATAATGTTGGGGCCGGGCACAGTGGCTCACACCTGTAATCCCAGCACTTTGGGAGGCTGAGGCAGCCAGTCACAAGGTCAGGAGTTCGAGACAAGCCTGGCCAGTATGATGATATCCCGTCTCTACTAAAAATACAAAAATTAGCCAGCATGGTGGCGCATGCCTATAGTCCCAGCTATTCAGGAGACTGAGGCAGAAGAATCGCTTGAACCCGGAGGCAGAGGTTGCAGTGAGCCAAGATCATGCCACTGCACTCTAGCCTGGTCAACAGAGCAAGACTTCGTCTCAAAAAAAATATATATATATAATGTTGGAAAATATTTTAACCTTCTTAAATTTAAAAAATCAGAAACCCATATAATCCAATCCAATTAAAGATTCACTTCAAAGAAGTCTTTGTTAAAAGTTTTGTGAGAGCAGTACACCAAGATGATTAAAAGCTTTACATACTTTTTAAAAATTCAATTTCAATCATCTGCACTAATGGAAGAAAGTGTGACATGGATAATTCAAATTAGAATGCAGTCATGCATCAAGTAACAACAGGGATACATTCTGAGAAATTAGATGATTTCATTGTTGTGTGAACATTATAAAGTCTACTGACAAAACCTCAATGGCAGAGCCTACTACACACCTAGGCTATATGGTATGTCTTATTGCTTCCAGGTTATAAACCTGTACAGCATGCTGTACTGAATATTGTAAGCAACTGTAACATAAGAGGTATTTGTGTATCTAAACATATACTGACATAGAAAAGGTACAGTAAAAATATGTGGTAGTATAATCTTATAGGACCACTGTAGCATTTGTATTCCATTGCTGATCAAAACATTGCTATTCAGTGCATGGCTGTACCTTACTTGTGCTTTGTGAATTTTCCAACGACTGTCTTTATCTATTATCTAACATGACATCAAATTAATTGGCCAAGAATTTCTTTTCTTTCTTTTCTTTTTTTTTTTTTTTTTGACAGGGTCTCGTCCTGTCATCCAGGTTTAGCTTCCTATGTAGCTGGGACCACAGGCACATGCCGCTACACCTGGATTTTTAAAAAACAATTTTGTAGAGATGTGGTCTCCCTATGTTGCCCAGGCTGATCTTGAACTCCTAGCCTCAAGCAATCTTCCCACCTCAGCCTAAGAATTTCTATATGCTCTAAAGATTGTGCTTTTTCTACTACCAAGTAAATTATTCTTTCAGGACTCTGGAATATGTTTTCTCCTACAAAAAAAAAAACCCTTCTGAATTAAACGTATTATAGGCTAATATTAAATTATATTGCATTATTTTGATAGCAAGTAATGATGAGCAGAGTGAGTCCAAAATGTATAGAGCACAAGAAGATAGAAGAGGATTTAACATTTTCTAAAGATAATATTAAATTAGCCTCAGACTAATTGATTAGGGAATGAAGCTGATGAGCAAAGATCACAAAGGAGGAGCTTTTTGTGAAATGTACTAGTCAGAAGGGAGTTCAGAATACCACGACAAACATTCTGAGAGTTTGCTTAACTAAAAAGAGGTCAATTGACACATCTTCCAATGAATGAATAAAGAGCAAAAAATTGGTTAAGAGTTCACATTAGAACCAACTAATAATCCATTTATAACACAACTGATCTTATTGAGCTCTTGTAATCAACTTTAATTTCCTGAAGGACGTTTAATCACTTTACAAAAAGCTTTCTGCTGATGCTATAATTTCAATTTAAGTCCATGCTAAAAGAATCTTGTTTTTCACTTAAATAGTAGACACTGTATGTAGATGGTGTGCAGAAAGACAAAAGTATCATTTCACTAATTTAGCCCACTAATTAATCACATTTTTTTTTTCTTTTTTTGAGAGAGAGACTCTCACTCTGTCGCCCAGGCTGGAGTAAAGTGGTATGATTTTGGCTCACCGCAACCTCCGCCTACCAGGTTCAAGCGATTCTCCTGCCTCAGACTCTCAAGTATCTGGTATTACAGGCACATGCCCCCACACCTGGTGAATTTTTGTATTTTTAATATAGATGGGGTTTCACCATGTAGCCAGGTTGATCTCGAACTCCTGATCTTAGGTGGTCCACCCTCCTCGGCCTCCCAAAGTGCTGGGATTACAAGTGTGAGCCACCATGCCCAGCCTAATTAATTATATATTCTTATTAAAAGTATTTTATTAGATACGTAAGCAAGTTAGCCTATGTGAGTAGTCATTAAAATTAGTATTTAATGTGCATTTACTTTTAAATGTTTACAGTAGATATTACTACAAACAATTGCAAAGAAGGCAGAAAAATAACAAAAATTTTAAATTTTTAAAAATGTTCTGGTGGGGAATGGTGGCTGAAACCTATAATCCCAGCACTTTGAGAGGCTACAGTAGGGGGACTGCTCGAGCCCAGGAGTTCAAGACCAGCCTGGGAAAAAAAGTGAGACCCCTGTCTCTACAAAAAATAAAAAATAAAAAATTACCTGGGCACAGTGGTACAGGCCCGTGGCCCCAGCTACAAAGGACACTGAAGCAAAAGGATTACTTGATCCCAAGAGATCGAGGCTACAGTGAGCTGTGTTCACACTACTATACTCCAGTCTGGGCAACTGAGTGAAATGCTGTCTCAATAAATACATAAATGATTTTATACAAATAGCTAATTTGTATAACTCAAGACTAACAACTGAACTGTCTATAAATCCAAAACTGGGAAATATAGTACATAACAGTTCATTGTGTTAAAGACATACAGCCTTAAGAACAACCAGAAACTATTATCTTAGAAGTTATGTACCACTGACAAAGTGAAAATGTAACTTGAGTGACAAATTTTTAGTTTCAAAGTTATATCTTAAATCTATTCCCTTGAAAGTTCTTTGCCTATGATATCTACAATGATTTAGATTAGGAGTGAGAAACACTTCCAACATGAAAATATTTTAAATCTAATGAATTTCTCAATGACTCTTGAAACATTAAGAAATATAAGATTGATTATAACTTTATGTAACTAATAATACCCAGGAGTATTACTACTGTAATAACCTAGCAATGTTTCTCAAAGCGTAGTCCATGACCATCTGACTCACCTGGAGGATGCCTATTAAAAATGCAGGTCGATAACTCCATTCCAAACATATCACATTAGAATCTCTGGTTGGTAGATCCTAGGAGAGCAGCAAGAAAAGATATTTCTGCCTGCAAGAGAGAATGAGCAAGTGAGTAAGTCTTTTCAAATCTAACCCATTAACATTATCAGAAAAATAACCTCAAATGCACATGTTCAACCAATCTTGGGTCATTAACATTCTTACAAATGACTGATACAATTAATCTGACTCTCCCATCCATGCATGCAAATTTTTAAAAGTTAAAACTTCCATTAATAATTCAAAAATAGTGAAATAGAAATCTCAAGTTTCCCCTTTTAGTCTAGGTTCTCCATGGAAAGTAAGAGCCTGAGACCTCTGGCTTATGTGCAAGTTCTTTATTTGGGAAAGCACCCAGACACAGGAGTAAGGGATTAGTGAAAGGAAGGAAGGAAGGCCAATACAAAAGTTTATCCTTGAGTTCATCCACCACTATAAGCAAACAGGGCTCAAGCCCAGTATCTTCTTAGGAGCCATCAAACTACCCCAGAACAGCCTGTCAGAAGACACAAGAGAAGGGCACTTATCCACAACTTCTGACTTCCATCAGTTAAGAGTTGCTGCATGGGTTGCTAATTTCTTACACTTTCAAATTGCATACTTGATTCTATTGGCTTCAGAGAAGCTCCTAGGGTGAGGGACTGTCAAGTTTCACCTGCATGAATCTGGTTGCCACTGAAATACTTGGAGCAAGCAGGGCCCAAGACGTGCCCAACATATCATGTTATAGGACAAATATAGTCAAACTGCTTCTTCTTTAGTTTTATAATTCTAATACAAAATACAATTAAGATAGATGTTCTGAGAAATGAGTACAGCAATTTCAAATGGAGAGGAAGGAACTTTTAGCCTATTTTTGTCTGATGTATTTGATCCATTCCCACAAAACCTGAGATGCACTGAAACTTGACCTTCTGTGAGAAAGGTATTTTCTAATAAACTTCAATTTATTTCCTGAATTTGGTTGCCAATTTTTAAAGAACCAAACAGCAGCAAAATGAACAGTTAGTATGTACTCTGTAAATACTCTTATGTCCAGCATTGATCCAAAGACTTCATTGTTTAAGTTTTTACATTAGTAAAGTTATAGTAAAAACAGATTGACTACATTGGACCCTCAAGTAACATTTTTCATTACAGTGAAACACACAATTTTGAATAGTACAAGTTTGTCTTGGACTGGGTCCAAGAGGGTCTAGTTACAAGAAGTAATTCATTATAACCTATAATGTGATCCTGAGGCTTGGCTCTGAAAAACACATTATATGAAGGCTCTAGTCAAGCAGATTAAAAATTTTAAAACTGAACAGTTAATCATGTACTTTAATTAAGTAAATACCGTATTTGTTTGTATAATATGTAAACTTAGTTCAGAGAAAGTGAAGGAGAAACAGGTGCAAAGAAAAAAGAAATCTGACTAAAAGCACATCATCTTTTCGTTTAACTTGAATTTCTGTTAGAATAATTAAAGGTGAGTTTAAAAAAAAAAACACTATCTCCTTAGAAGTTGGGGTAAAGTAGCTAATGAATTGAATAAAGATGAAATAGGAAAACTGAGGGGTGCACAGCAAATACAAAAAAGTGGAGATACACACTGCTGAAAAAAGCTCAATAATAACATATATTATTTTATTATTATTAATAATTGTGAGAGAGGGTCTCACTCCTGTCACCCAGGCTAGAGTGTGGTGGCAAGATCTCAGCTCACTGCAACCTCCATCTCCCAGGCTGGAACAATCCTCCCACCTCGGCCTATGGAGTAGCTTGGATTACAGGCGCACATCACCATGCCCAGCTAATTTTTATGTATTTTCTGTAGCAATGGGGTTTCCTCATGTTGTCCAGTCTGGTCTCAAACTCCTGGGCTCAAGTAATCCACCTGCCTTGACCTCCCACAGTGCTGGGATTATAGGCATAAGCCGCCGCGCTTGGCCAATAAATAATTTCTTATAACCATTAATTCTGAAATAAATGAATAGATTAGTTTCTTCTTTCTATATCATTTTGCCATTGGGTTAGATAATTTTTTAAATCCCTTGGAATATAATAAAATAACAACAACCATATAATAATACTATCTAACTTACCTGAACTCAATTATGTAAATCAAAATACATGTAAAAGCATTTAACAATACAGTGAAATCCTTTCTATAATTATAAATCTTTCACAATTTGCCTAGCAATTCAATAGTTTCCCTATAACTACACAACTTTAGCCATTGAAGAGATCTGATTAGCTGTAGTTCTTTTTTTTTTTTTGAGACAAAGTCTTGCTCTGTCGCCCAGGCTGGAGTGCAGTGGTGCGATCTTGGCTCACTGCAAGCTCTGCCTCCCGGGTTCATGCCATTCTCCTGCCTCAGCCTCCCAAGTAGCTGGGATTACAGGCGCCCACAACCACGCCCAGCTAATTTTTTTTGTATTTTTAGTAGAGACCGGGTTTCACCGTGTTAGCCAGGATGGTCTTGATCTCCTGACCTCGTGATCCGCCTGCCTTGGCCTCCCAAAGTGCTGGGATTACAGACGTGAGCCACAGCGCCCGGCCAGCTGTAGCTCTTAAATCTATCTACCGTTAACAACAGTTTCTTACACTGTTACAGTTTCTTACATTTCTCTCTCATTTAATCCTATCAACAATCTTGTAAAACACTCAAGGTACATATTATTACCTTCATTTCATTGATCAACAACCAAAGTACAGAGAAATTAAATTATTTGCTCAACGAGATTAGAATTAAAAATTAGAATTCATTCAGCAAATTAGATGGTGCAGCTGATGCCTTCCCAATATCAACTTATACAAATACATTACTATATACTTGCAATTATAGAACTCAACAATGATTCCCCACAACATAGCCTTTGCACACGCCTTCTGCCTGGAAAGCCTTCTGCCATTCTTCTCCCAATAGGCAAGCTGCTTCAAACTTCTCTTAATTCTTCTTTAAGAAATTTCAAATATATTACTTCATTCTTACAACAACCCCTTTGGGCACAGTGAGTATTAATATCCTCTTTCAGTGAGGGAAATAAGACTTGTCTAGGAAACATGCAGATAATCAGAGATAGGGTCAGAATTTAATCTCTCGTCCTATCTTTCAGCTCAGGACTCTTTCCATAGCACAAGAAGGCTGGGAATATGGCTATATGCCAGCATTGATTGTAGAACATGATCAAAATTTTTTGGAGTACTTCCTACTCTGTCCCTTCTGAGATTACAACATAATTTAAGACCCTTCAATCTACTTGATTTTAAATTTAGTACATGAAACAACTCACAACCAGGGCTGGGAAAGCCAGTATAACCATTTTTCTAATTCTATTAGAAGTCAATTTATATTCATTTCTCAAATGTACGTATCTGTTGTAAGGCAAGTAAAAAAAGCATGTGTACCAAAAATACTAAGAAATAAATTAAATAGTCTAAAAAATGAAGTGAGATGATCATATGATCATAATAGGTGTTTCACTCCAATCCTAACTGAGGAAGCCCAGTTTATTTTCACCTCTGAGGCTAATTAAATCATGATCAAATTGTAAATAATTTTAGTTACCTCCTACAGTGTAAAGCATTTTTTTTGTTGTTGTTCGTTTGTTTGTTTTATTGAGACGGAGTCTCACTCATCAGGCTGGACTGCTGGACTGCAGTGGCACAAACTCGGTTCACTGCAACCTCTGCCTCCCCGATTCAAGAAATTCTCCTGCCTCAGCCTCCTGAGTAGCTGGGACTACAGGTGTGCACCACCACGCCTGGCTAATTTTTGCATTTTTAGTGCAGACGGGGTTTCACCATGTTGACCAGGATGGTCTTGATCTCTTGACCTCATGATCTGCCTGCTTTGGCCTCCCAAAGTGCTGGGATTACAGGCATGGGCCACTGGCCCCGGCCAAAGTTTTTTGAAGTAAAAAGAAAAATGTACTTGCTCTGTCACCCAGGTTGGAGTGCAGTGCATGGCTCACTGCAGCCTCATCTTCCGAGGCTCAAGAGATCTTCTCGTTTCAGCCTCCTAAGTAGCTGGGACCACAGGCATACACACCATACTTAGCTAATTTTTTTTTAATTTTTTATAGAAACAAAGTCTCACCATGTTGCCCAAGCTGGTCTCAAACTTCTGGGCTCAAGTGATCCTCCTGCCTTAGCCTCCCAAAATGCTGGGATTACAGGCATGAGCCACTGCACCAGGCTCTGACCATATGGTTTACAGTCATCCAAACCAGGACGTTTTTAAAAGTAAAAGGGAGCTCTATTAATAATTAAGCTAGAGCAATAGGAATTAACCAGGACTGTCACTGGTAAGCTAGGGCATATGCTCACCTCACATACGATATGTACCACAATTGAGAGAAGGAAGGAGACTTTTTTTTTTTTTTTTTGAGACAGAGTCTCACTCTGTCACCCAGACTACAGTGTGAGCAAGTTCGACCTCCTGGGCTGCAACTTCAACCTCCTGGGCTCAAGCAATCCTCCCATCTCAGCCTCCCAAGTACTGAGGCTACATACAACACTGAACCCAGCTAGACTTATCTTTATTTTTATTTTCTTGTAGAGACAGGGTCTTGTTATGTTGCCCAGGTTTTTCTCAAGCAATCCTCCCACCTAGACTTCCTAAAGTGCTGGGACTGTGGGCATGAGCTGCTGCACTTGGCCGGAAGCCTATCTATTTCAACGTTAGTATCCTAAATAGTCCACAAAAACAAACTGTCACCAAGAGTATGAGTTGAATGAAAACACAATTTCACTGTACATTTTTAATATTTCTGATTATAACTTACATAAAACTGAAAACATTTCTAGCTAAAACTCAGGATCTCCTCTAAGAACAACTTTGAACATAAAACATTTTTAAATTTTTTATTTTACCTTTGGAAAAGTAACTATCAAAGCTTCCTTAAACTTAGACTAATACGGATTAGGAAAAACAAAAAGCCAATATTTGTAAGTCTATTTTTCTCAAGCATAATTAGAATAAAGACCAAAAAAAGAGACAGTGCTTAAAGATATATCTGTAATCTGTGAAGCACATAATTACATTAAAGATCACAACTATTT